AAAAAAAAAAAAAAAAAAAGAATGAAGTGTGTGAAGGAGAAACATAGGGAACTCCGTAAAACAAAATATTATGATAACTACTTAAAAGCCAGAAGTGTGGTTTCGCAGAGCCATGAACTAAAGAAGGGACCAAGAGAGACTCAATTCAGGGTTCTAGACAAGGCTGCTTCTCTATTCTGGCCACCCATGGGGTTGCCCTTCATCTGCGTCATGGCCGCTGCACTTCTCCAAAGCATTTGGCTTGCTTCTTTTGTCTCCTCTAGCCTCGGTCAGTGTGGAACTTGATATATAGTGGAGGATGACCTTGAACTTCTGATCCTCTGGCCTCTACCTTCCGAGTACTGGGATCTCAGGTGTGCACCACCATGCCTGGTTTATGGGGTACTGGCTGTTGTCCAAGGGCTCTGGGCACGTTAGGCAAGTCTGCTAGCTACCAGGGAGGTACATCCCAGCCCACTGGCTTGCCTCCCAATGTCTTTCTTCATTTCTCTCAATTTCTGCTGTCCGAGTGTTTTAAAAAGACAAATATATACCCCTCTATTATTTGTTGTTGTTGGTTGGTTGGTTGAGACAGGGTCTCACTATGTGGAACTTCAGCTGGTGTGGAACTCACTATGTAAAACAGGCCAGACTGGAACCCACAGAGGTCCGCTTGTCTCTGCCTCCCGAGTGCTGGGATGAAGGGTGTGTGCCAACATGCCCTGCCGTTACTATTTTTGACCTGTGGCCAATTTTCAGTTTTGTTCTTTAGTTTTCTTCCACTCACCCGAGATGTTTTCTACCAGGATGAACCATCGATGACTGCCTTTTCGTAAGTCAAAAACAACCAGTCACGGGCAATGAATTCGCACTTGATAAATCCTATAGACCCAAGCATGTTCTATTAATCTTGCTAGGGTGGGGAAAGTCAGCATTGATGTAAATGGTAAGGACTTCAAAACTAGTGCCTACCAGCTTTATGTGAAAACAACAACAACAACAACAAAAACAAATTTAAATCATTCCTGGAGAAATTTTCTAGAGGAAGACATTTCGAGCGATTACCTCAGCAGTAGGTCCTTACTCACCACCCGACCCCCGTCCTCTCTGTGTTTTCCTTGCTGGATCCTGGAACAATTTAGCATTCAAATGTCCAAGTCTTCACGATTTCCTTTCTTCTCAGACTAAGATTCATAATGTATCCCAGGCTAGCTTCCAAACCACAGTCCTTAGAGTTCAGTACTGGGGTTACAGGTATGGACTGCCATATGCAACTCCAGAGATTAATTTGATATGTATGTATGTATGTATGTATGTATGTATGTATGTATGTATGTATCTATCTAATCTAATCTATCTATCTATCTATATCTAGCTATCATCTATCTGTTTATTTATTTATTTTGAGACAGAGTCTCACTATGTAGCTTGGCTGTCCCAGAACTCACTATGTAGACCCTGCTGGCCTCAAATTCACAGAGATCTGCCTGCCTCTGCCGCTTCTGGGATTAATGGCGTGCGCCACCAAGCACAAGGATCTTTGTGAATGCTTTCCTCTCAGAGAAGGGCTTAAGCTCTAGCCCCCACCCCCTTTTTTTCAAGACAGGGTTTCTCTTGAATCTCAGGATCTGCCTGTCCTAGATCTCACTGTGTAGACTAGGCTGTCCTCGAACTCACAGAGATCTGCCTTAGCCTCCTCTCTTGCCTCTAGCCTGAGGTTGTAGTTTCTGCAAGGAGCCAGCGGAGACCAAGGCTGGCTGCCTTAAAGGGTCTGAGCCCTGTGAGTTCATGTGTGCGTCTGCCCTGTGTGGCTGGAAAAGGCTGTTTTCTTAACATGGTCTGCTTCCTCTGGCTCTCCCAACTTTCCAGGCCCCCCTTCTGCATAGATCCATGAGCCTTGGGGGGGGGGGTGCGTGCGTGCGTGCATGCATACGTGTGTGTGTGTGTGTGTGTGTGTGTGTGTGTGTGTGTGTGTGTGTGTGATAAAGACATCCCTTTTAGGGCTGAGCACTCCCAAGTCTGCCACGGTCCACCTTGTCCAACTTGGGTCTGTGCTAGTTACCCACAGAGACTGTGACCTGCGCAAGATCAAGCCAGACCAAAGTCTCATCACGGAGGAGGAGGAGGAGGAGTGGGGACCAGAGTCCCACCCTAGTCAAGCAGCTCTTTGTAAATAACAGATGCCAGGGGGAGGAAAATCTGTTTTCTTCTACGGAGCGACACGAGGTGTACCAACCACATGTCTGTGCGGGCCCCATGCTCAGAAGTTGTCAAACCAATTTGGAACTCCGTGTTTTTCCATGGATTTCTCTTTCGTTTTTGTTTTTTAAGATAGAGAAAGCACAATGGGGTTGAATGGGGGAGGCCCTGGGAGGAGCTGGGAGGTGGGAAGGAATATAGACTACGTGACCTTATCAAAGAATGGAAAGGGTGGTCTGAAGCCTCGCCTTCCTGAGCTGCTCTGGGGCTAGAATCACTGTGGAAAGTTGTGGGGTCTGCTTTCTTTACAGCTGTGAATGGCAGACTCTAAAGGGGACATTCCACCCTGATGGCAGCCACTTAGTCTCTCGATTCTAGTACTTTTATCCTTAGAAATCACAGCAATCAGCCGGCAGTGGTGGTGCATACCTTTAATCCCAGCACTCGGGAGACAGAGCCAGGCGGATCTCTGTGAGTTCGAGGCCAGCCTGGTCTACAAAGTGAGTTCCAGGACAGGCACCAAAACTACACAGAGAAACCCTGTCTTGAAAAACAAAAAACAAAAAACAAACAAAAGAAATCACAGTAATCAGCAATTCCCTTCAGACTTGTGCACACCAGATGTGTACGTAAGGAGCACACACACAAGCATGAGAGTTTAGCCATTAGTTAACAACCTCACTCGTGGGACTGCCACCAACACTCCAGGGAGAGTGTGGCACAATCAAGATCAAGGCACGATCACACTCTGAATAGGAATTAGCCAGAGCCAAGCATGGGGGCGGGGGGGGGGGGGGGGGCGTAATCTCAGCACTTGGGAGGCAGAGGCAGGAGAATCAGGTTTCACTTGGGCTGTATGTGTGAACGAGAGAACCAACTCCTGAACGGTGCTTTCTGATCTCACATGTGCATCGTAGCATACTCACACTCCTCAAGCACACACCCACCCTCTCCCCAGTAAATAAATACATGAACGGTTTAAAGAAAAACTAATGGAATTTAACCAGCCTAGTAGGGAAGAAGAGGGAGGCGAGTTTCTTCAAAATAGCCCTCTGTTGACTAGGGGATCCTAGGAAAGAGCCATAAGCTGTGATAAAATCTTGGTCACATCAGCATTAAAATAGGAACCATGGCAGCCTAGAAGGTGATAGGTTTGCACCTTTGCAACACGTTTGCAACCTGGATTTCTGGATACCAGGCGCACGCACGTGCTGCCACAGCCCAAGGTGACCTTCGTGCCTCCCCCGGCGTCCTGCCCCCTTGCTGCTGTTTGCACAAGCTATCGGAGTATCTCGGGTTATCTTGGCTCTGGACTGAAGGCAAAGATGCTTCTCCTGAGAGGACATGGGGCGGGGAGGCTCTCTGCGCAGCGCTTTTGGGTATGACTTGACTCTTGTTTGTCAAACAACAGGGAGACAATTTTGCCCTGAGATGGTCCATTTGACCCAACTCATGCAGATGTGTGGATGGAT